GTTACTTCTAATTTTAAATTTAAACTTTAACTATAATAAATAAAATAACACACACACACACACACACACACACACACACATATATATATATATATATACACCTACAAGATGAGGTACCGTGGTGCATGTTGTTTGCGAACGACGTAGTTTTGATTGATGAGACCAGAAACAACATCAACACAAAGTTAGAACTTTGGAGGTATGCTCTAGAATCTGAAAGATTTAAAATTAGCTGGGCTAGATAGAGTACATTAAATGCAAGTTTAATAATGATAGGAGTAGAGACAAGGAAGTAGTTAAGATAAACAACCAAGAAATACCAAAAGGAGTGCACTTTCGATATCTTGGATCGATAATCCAAGAAAATAGAAAGATTAAGGAAGATGTCTCACATAGAATTAGAGTTGGTTGAGCGAAGTGAAGACGTGCAACTAGAGTTTTATGTGATCACCACATACCAATAATGCTGAAGGGCAAGTTCTATAGGATAGCTGTGAGACCAGCTTTGCTTTATTGGGTAAAATGCTGAGCGATCAAAAAGCAACATACCTATAGAATGAGTGTAGTTGAGATGAGGATGTTGAGATGGATGGGTGGCAAGACAAGAAGGGATAGAACTCAAAGTGAATACATTTGGGAGAATTTAGGTGTGGCAATAATAGGCGATAAGATGTGATAAGGTAGACTTAAGTGGACCAGCCATGCGTGGCGTAGACCCAGTACAACACCTGTTAGGAGGTGCGAGTTAATTCAAGTGGAAGGCTCAAAAAGGGCAAGGGGTAGGCCAAAAAGACATGGTTAGAAGTAGTGAGAAAAGATATAGGGACTTATGGTCTCACTTAGGATATGACCCTTAATAGAGTAGAATAGCAGACCATAATTTGTGTAGCCGACCCCAATTAGTTGGGAAAAGGCTCTGACGATGATGATGATGACATGCAATAATCAATCCCCCTAAAAAAAAAAATTCAATTTCAACCCTAGATATGGTAACAAAGAGTCCCCTCCAAAAACAAATCTAGACCATACATTTTGTGAATTTCAAGATCTTAGTATTTAAAAACTTAAAATCATTTTTTTCTTTTTTTAAAATTGTTCATCTAATGATAATAAAGCCATCCAAAAAAAATTGAAAATGAAAAAATCCTTCTAAGACCTAGATCTAAGCATCTTACTAAAATGAACGACTTATGTTAATTGGGACAAAAAAATACTTTCTAGATTGTGTTTTCACGTTTTTCTTTTTTTGTACTTGTTCATTAGAATGAAAAGAGTGTATATTTCAAAATTTGGCCGTAAGATTTTTTTTTAAGGTTGTTGCATCATATTACTATACAACGGTTGCATGAAATCATTGCCCATACCTATATATATATATATATATATATATATATATATATATATATATATATATTATTAATAATAAATAATAGTAGAGACGTACTAACTAAATAAATATACTACTACTAACTAAACTAACTACTACGACGTAGGTTACGGTTCGGTTACG